ACTCTAGTCTGGCATTGTAAGGAGACATGAGAGGTGTAGCATAAGTGGGAGATCGTTCGCGCGATCGTCGCTGAAAAACCACTACTTTCATTGTTTCATTACTTACTCGGTTGGGCGGAAGCGGTGCGCGGTCGATAATATCGGCGGGCGCACGGTGTTTCGTTCCAAGCGTGCAGAGTGGCGACGTGGCGGCAACGCTCGTCGCCGTACAACTCCCGCGTGATCCGGTTCGAGGACACTGCCAGGCGGGTAGTTTGACTGGGGCGGTACATCTGTCAAAGAATAACGCAGGTGTCCTAAGGCCAGCTCAGCGAGGACAGAAACCTCGCGTGGAGCAAAAGGGCAAAAGCTGGCTTGATCCAGATGTTCAGTACGCATAGGGACTGCGAAAGCACGGCCTATCGATCCTTTAGTATAAAGAGTTTTTAGCAAGAGGTGCCAGAAAAGTTACCACAGGGATAACTGGCTTGTGGCAGCCAAGCGTTCATAGCGACGTTGCTTTTTGATCCTTCGATGTCGGCTCTTCCTATCATTGCGAAGCAAAATTCGCCAAGCGTTGGATTGTTCACCCATCAAAAGGGAACGTGAGCTGGGTTTAGACCGTCGTGAGACAGGTTAGTTTTACCCTACTGATGGCTTGTCGTTGCGATAGTAATACTGCTCAGTACGAGAGGAACCGCAGTTTCGGACATTTGGTTCATGCACTCGGCCGAGCGGCCGGTGGTGCGAAGCTACCATCCGCGGGATTATGCCTGAACGCCTCTAAGGCCGAAGCCAGCCTAGCCGAATCCGGCAAGGATATGCTCACTGTGGAGCCCCGAGAGTCGGGAGGCTCTAAACAATGTGACTTTACTAGTCGCGCTTCACCACGTGAGGTGCGACGTCGAAGCCCATTTGGATCGCGGAGATCGATGCTGTCCGTTTAACGCGTGCATCACGGCTCCGAAGGTCCGAATTTACCTCAGTTCGATGTCGGGGCTCGGAATAGTCTGTAGACGACTTCCGTTCCTGGCGGGGTGTTGTGCTCGGTAGAGCAGCGTCGTGCTGCGATCTGTTGAGACTCAGCCCTACGCCAGGTGATTCGTCCGAGGACGATGACCGACGATGCGTGCGCGCGCGCATGCATACACGCGGCTCAGACGCGCCGGGGACTGTCTCGTTTACACCGTTGCTGTGTTCGACGACTATTATCATTATACACACACATAATAAACCTATTATGTGTGTATGTGTAAGATAGTGGACGACAACAATAACAGCGGCGGTTGTAGACGAGACAGTCTTCGACGTTTGACGTTTGTCGATTAATACACGAACGGGACGCGGCCACCGTTCGTTTCGTTCGATTCGTTAATACACGAACAGGATAATTCGACTTAACCGCCCGTATTAAAACAAATCCGTACGGACGTGGGCGGCGGTGAAGCGCTGGCCGCGCCCCGCGCGACCAGCGCTCCGCGCAGATACGGAATTAATACACGAACAGGATACCGATTTTAATACACGAACTGGCACGAACTGTTTAGGTTACTACGTACGTCTCGTACACAATACACGGGCTGCTTTCGCTACAAACGCTAGGTACCTTCCTTAATAATAACTAACTCGCGTTATGTCCCCTTATGTCTATGCTATGACTACATCGTAACAATATCATGTGTTACACCACTCGTGTCTGTCACATTTATATACGCATTACACTCGTCGACTCGACCGACCAACCAACCAACCAACCAACCAACCAACCAACCAACCAACCAACCAACCAGGAACCAGACGACAACACACACAGAGAGAGAGGACGTTTTCCTGTTCGTGTATTAATTCCGTATCTGCGCGCCGAGCGCGGCCAGCGCGCGTCCCACATCCGTACGGATCGAGAGAAAATTATATGTTTTAATACGGGCGGTTAAGTCGAATTATCCTGTTCGTGTATTAACGGATCGAACGAAATGAACGGCGGCCGCGCGTCCCGTTCGTGTATTAATCGAACTTCGGCGACGACAACAAACTCCGAAGACTCTCTCGTCTACAACCGCCGCTGTTATTGTTGTCGTCCACTATCTCACACATACATATATAGGTATAGTGTATGTATAATGATGACAGTCGTCGAACACAGCAACGGTGTAAACGAGACGTCGTCCCCGGCGTCTGAGCCGCGTGTGCGTGCGCGTGTGTGTATACGAATCACCTGGCGTAGGGCCGAGTCTCTTTTTTCATGTTTCATTCCCGACCCCGACACCGTTCGTGTATTAAAATCGGTATCCTGTTCGTGTATTAATTCCGTATCTGCGCGCCGAGCGCGACCAGCGCGCGTCCCACATCCGTACGGATCGAGAGAAAATTATTTGTTTTAATACGGGCGGTTAAGTCGAATTATCCTGTTCGTGTATTAACGGATCGAACGAAATGAACGGCGGCCGCGCGTCCCGTTCGTGTATTAATCCCCGTATCCCGTTCGTGTATTAATCGTGTATTAACCCCCCCCCCCCCCCCCCCCCCAAAAGCCCCAGGAAGCCCCAGGAACCCCCCCCCACCTGAACTGTACACTGTACGCGACGCAAGCAGACAGGCTCAGCCTGTCCGCCTGTCCACGATCGCATCTATTCTCGGTTTCGCTTCGTTGTCACGCGACTCGATGAATATGTACACACGTACAATATGATTCGTACAGCGGTGATGTGGTGTAATTGTGTTGTTGTGTGGTGTTGTGTGTTGTGTTCTGTGGTGTTCCGTGTAATCGTGTCGTCGTTGCGGCGCGCGCGGCGCGCGCACATAGAGAATGCCGGCGGGCAGCAAGCAGCCACAAGTGTTGTTTGTTGTGCGCGGTTCTCATATGTGCTCGCAGTGTGCGTCCGACGCGGAGAAACGAGAGCGAACAAAAACGGACAAACATATACGCTATACGCAAAACAATATTATTGAACTGTGCCGGCCGACGGAACGTGTGTTTGCTCGTGTCCGTTATAAATCGGTCGATCCTATATAAAAACAATGAACGTGGCGACGGTACGACAACGCCGGCGCTCGGACGCGCGACGTGTTGCCCGTCGACGCCATCGTCACGTTCGATCTTTGCGCATCATACATTTCATGTGGGTGAGGCGCTCTACAACCACCGGGCGGAATCGTGTATGGTTTCACCGACCGTGTAAGCTGATCTTATACAAACGTGAAATCGTCTCGGTACGAACGTTCCATCAAGGGGCCGATCCGCCTCCCTCTATCCAGAGAGAGACGTGAGCGCCCTCAGAGCGACCGCAGGCGCGTCTCTATCGCGTTGAGATACACGCGCGTAGAGACGTTCGCGGACCGCGAAACTCTAAACACTCAAATTTCGAGCTCGCCCCAGTGCGTTTCGCGTTTCCATAAAAAGATCGCGTGCGCTTCGGGGTCGTCGAGTATTGTGTGTCGGCGTGCGCTAGCGCTCGCGCCGGCTTCAACTCTCAACAAAGAAGCTCCCTGGTTGATCCTGCCAGTAGTTATATGCTTGTCTCAAAGATTAAGCCATGCATGTCTCAGTGCAAGCCGTATTAAGGCGATACCGCGAATGGCTCAATATATCAGTTTTGGTTCCTTAGATCTTACTCAGTTACTTGGATAACTGTGGTAATTCTAGAGCTAATACATGCAATCAGAACTCTGACCAGTGATGGGATGAGTGCTTTTATTAGATCAAAACCAATCGACGGAGGGCCTCGCGTCCGAAGTCGTTAATTTTGATGAATCTGGATAACTTTTGCCGATCGCATGGTCCAGTACCGGCGACGCATCTTTCAAATGTCTGCCTTATCAACTTTCGATGGTAGTTTCTGCGACTACCATGGTTGTCACGGGTAACGGGGAATCAGGGTTCGATTCCGGAGAGGGAGCCTGAGAAACGGCTACCACATCCAAGGAAGGCAGCAGGCGCGCAAATTACCCACTCCCGGCACGGGGAGGTAGTGACGAAAAATAACGATACGGGACTCTTACGAGGCCTCGTAATCGGAATGAGTACACTTTAAATATTTTAACGAGGAACAATTGGAGGGCAAGTCTGGTGCCAGCAGCCGCGGTAATTCCAGCTCCAATAGCGTATACTAAAATTGTTGCGGTTAAAAAGCTCGTAGTTGCATTTGTGCGCCGCGCTGTCGGTGCACCGCATCCGCGGTGATACTGACACGTCTGCGGAGCATATCGTCGGTGAGCCGTCGGTTAAACGTCGGTTCAATATCAAAATCCTATCGCGGTGCTCTTCAATGAGTGTCGAGGTGGGCCGACAATTTTACTTTGAACAAATTAGAGTGCTCAAAGCGGGCTCAAAATGCTGCTTGAATATTTCGTGCATGGAATAATAGAATATGATCTCGGTTCTATTTTGTTGGTTTTCAGAACTCCGAGGTAATGATTAATAGGGATAACTGGGGGCATTCGTATTGCGACGTTAGAGGTGAAATTCTTGGATCGTCGCAAGACGAACATCAGCGAAAGCATTTGCCAAAGGTGTTTTCATCAATCAAGAACGAAAGTTAGAGGTTCGAAGGCGATTAGATACCGCCCTAGTTCTAACCGTAAATATGTCATCTAGCGATCCGCCGACGTTACTACAATGGCTCGGCGGGCAGCTTCCGGGAAACCAAAGATTTTGGACTCCGGGGGGAGTATGGTTGCAAAGCTGAAACTTAAAGGAATTGACGGAAGGGCACCACCAGGAGTGGAGCCTGCGGCTTAATTTGACTCAACACGGGAAATCTCACCAGGCCCGGACACCGGAAGGATTGACAGATTAACAGCTCTTTCTTGATTCGGTGGGTGGTGGTGCATGGCCGTTCTTAGTTGGTGGAGCGATTTGTCTGGTTAATTCCGGTAACGAACGAGACTCTAGCCTGCTAAATAGGCGTCGTCATTTAGGTGTGCGTGGCTCCGTCACGCAACTCACTGGCGACGTATTAAAATTCTTCTTAGAGGGACCGGCGGCTTCGAGCCGCACGAGATTGAGCAATAACAGGTCTGTGATGCCCTTAGATGTCCTGGGCCGCACGCGCGCTACACTGAAGGAATCAGCATGTTCTCCCTGGCCTAGAGGCCCGGGCAACCCGCTGAAACTCCTTCGTGCTGGGGATTGGGGTTTGCAATTATCCCCCATAAACGAGGAATTCCTAGTAAGCGCGAGTCATAAGCTCGCGTTGATTACGTCCCTGCCCTTTGTACACACCGCCCGTCGCTACTACCGATTGAATGATTTAGTGAGGTCTTCGGACCGACACGCGGTGGCTTCACGGCCGTCGGCGTTGCTGGGAAGTTGACCAAACTTGATCATTTAGAGGAAGTAAAAGTCGTAACAAGGTTTCCGTAGGGGAACCTGCGGAAGGATCATTAACGTTGTTTGCGCGAGACGTGTGCCTAGTGCGCGGTCCGAGCGTGATATGAATAACGTAAATAATCTCCACACCTAGGGATCGGCACGCTGTTGTACTACTGCCGCAGTACTGCTACTGCTGTTGTTGTACGGCGGCGTTGATCCCGCGTCGCGTCCTCGCACGGCGCGCAGACGGGCAACGAAATCCGCGCCCCGAGCGCCGTCGGACGCGTTCGTTAACGAAACGAATATTTCAACGATCCATCACGACGCGGTGGGATCGGACAATATTATTTGTCGTTATTTACGATTATTATTATTTTTTTTTTTTATGTAACAACAACAACGATTGCAATCCATGCGGTTGTGGTTGGGTTCGTTTGGAGGCTTGCACTTCAACGGGCCGAAACTATTACCCTGGACGGTGGATCACTTGGCTCGCGGGTCGATGAAGAACGCAGTTAACTGCGCGTCATAGTGTGAACTGCAGGACACATTTGAACATCGACATTTCGAACGCACATTGCGGTCCGTGGAGACACATCCAGGACCACTCCTGTCTGAGGGCCGGCTGTATAAAATACATATGCCACATTGCGTGCGTAACGCGCGCTGATGACGGTTCAACGAGCGTCCGTGTGTGTGCACGGGCTATCGTTGTCCGTTCAAATATAACGCGTATGCGTGTATGTAAAACGTTTGATCGTGTCATCGCGTATGAATCATTTGTATCGGACGGTCGCGTGCGTAGCCGCGCGTATCGGACGTTCAGAAGATAGCGACGCGCGCCGGACAGGCGCGCCCGCGACTCTACGGTGCTCATTCGATTGAACATTGGGGGTTGCGTGGCGCGCGCCTGCTCGGGCGCCGTACGCGGTCTTCGGTCCGTTACGATTGCGGCTGCGCGTCTATATACGCGAACACGTTTCGTGCGATTGTACGAATACGTATATAAAAGAGATGACCACGTATCGACGATGTTGAGAGTAGGCGGACTCGACGTCCGAAGAGCGCATCGACGCCGTCGTCGTACCCCCGGCTAGTTTCGGGGCGTTCGGTTGCGACGTCGTATCGCTGACGGATATCGCGTCTGCCTCATTTTTTTATCGTTGGCCTCAGATCAGGGAGGATCACCCGCCGAATTTAAGCATATTAGTAAGCGGAGGAAAAGAAACTAACCAGGATTTCCTTAGTAGCGGCGAGCGAACAGGAAAGAAGCCCAGCACTGAATCCCGCCGTTGTTCAGGCGGCGGGAGATGTGGTGTTCGGGAGGTTCCGCTTTCTCGTCGCGATCTCTCCTGTCCAAGTTCGTCTTGAACGGGGCCGTTTTCCCGTAGAGGGTGCCAGGCCCGTAGCGACGGAGGACCGCGGCGAGAGGGACTCTCCTTAGAGTCGGGTTGCTTGAGAGTGCAGCCCTAAGTGGGTGGTAAACTCCATCTAAGGCTAAATATTACCGCGAGACCGATAGCGAACAAGTACCGTGAGGGAAAGTTGAAAAGAACTTTGAAGAGAGAGTTCAAGAGTACGTGAAACCGTTCAGGGGTAAACCTGCGAAACTCGAATGAACGAACGGAGAGATTCATCGTCATTCCTCGGCGTACGGACGCGCGCCTCGATGCCTTCGGTCGTTTCACGGCCGTTGGCACGGGTCGCGTCCGTCGACGTCCGAGGACGTCGTGCACTTCTCTCTTAGTAAATACATCGCGACCCGTTCGATGTCGGTCTAAGCGCCGTACGGGAGCCCCGTTGCCCCTTCGCGGGGGTAGTGGGACCGCGACGGTGGCCGACCGGCCGTCGGACGGTAGTTCTGACGAATCGCGCACGCGTTCTATACGCGTCCGGCCCGACGCAAGTCAACGTCGTATCATACGTCTACGCCATAGTGCGGACGTGTGTGCGGCGCGTCTGGTGTCGCAGCCGTGCTGTCTCGGACTGTGCGCGTCTCTGTCTGCGATGATTCAGTTTCGGGCACTCGCAGGACCCGTCTTGAAACACGGACCAAGGAGTCTAGCATGTATGCGAGTCATTGAGACAATAAAACTGAAAGGCGCAACGAAAGTGAAGGCGCGCGCTCGCCGCGCGCTCAGGGAGGATGGAGCTTCGATCTAG